CTGTATATACAAAAGTTTAGCCAATTTTTAAAAATTTATTTCTACTAATAAGATAACTATCAAAATGGTTGCACTTTTAATTCAATTAAATATTTATCACGATTTTGATTTACTAAACAACAACTACTATGTATAAGTAGTAATGGATAAACTACTGTATAAAACCTAATATATCTTTAATAAAATTAATAAGAAATAGTAACCATTACATAAATTTGAAGATATATTAGAGTATTGTAATATTACAATACAGTATATTAATAAAATTGAAACATAATAATAGGCATACCGTATATTATTGTATATTATGGAAAAACATTTAGCAATAGTTTTTAAATTGAATAAATTATGAATTTTAACAATTTATATCATATAAATAGTTTATCCATCACTGCCATAAATATATTTAAAAATACAGAATTTTGTAATTAAAGTGTGTTAATAGGATTTCATTTATAATAAAATACTAAATTTTGAAAAATTTTTATACTTCATAATAAATATTTTCGGCAAACTTTAGACAGCTTTTAAATACCACTTTAATAATTAAATATCTTTAGATCAGCAAAAAAATAAATTAATTAATTAATCAAAAAGAGTATAGTTTTGATGACAAAAACGCAATCAATAATAAATTTATAAAAGGATATGTAGGCATACAAAAAATACTTACTAATTTTGATCATATATTTTTAAAATTATTATATTTAAATATATTTAATTTTGAGTATAGATGATGTTATGTCTACACACTGAGCGACAGTACACAGCGACAAAAACGTTTAAAAAATCAATGAAAATATATTCAATTTTAATTTATTTATTTATAATTATAGCTAATTTGACAAATTCAAAGCAATACTTTAACATTGCAATAGTATTTTAATAATAAACATTCAGTTATAATCACTATTTCAATGTTAAAGTATTGCTTTGAATTTGTCAAATTAATTATACTTTTTATATAATATTATTATCATTGAAATAAGCAATTTTTGTTTTGCATAAAGACATGTCTCCATTAAAGTTTGATTACTAAAAGTTTTATGGAAATAACTATTAAGTGAATAATTAATTAATTTATATTTTAGTATAATTTTAAATTAAATATTTTTATATCCCTACAGGTTCTTTAAGCTGGAATTATATATTATTTTTGTTAAGTATAAATATTTTACAAAACAGTATATCATATTGTTTTTTGAAATGTGATTATCAAATAATACTTTTAATAAATTCTTTTGTTATATATTGTGGTGTTTTTGTTTGACACTTAAGTATATCATATTATATCCAAACTATTTAATAACGATATTGTAAAGCACCGACACTTTTGGTTAGTAATACCTTTTACTATCAAACTGTCAAAACTTTAAATGATTTACGACTTTCATAAGGATTAGCATTTTTACATTAAATATATATATATTATATATATATATTTATTTTAATAATAAAAAAATAAGTTTCTATTTATTTTGTTTATAATAATTTAATTGTAAAAATCTATTAAAATCTTTTATTTAATAATTATAAAGTTAAAAATATTAGTAAATAATTGTATTTATTAACCAAATGAAATAATTTAATCAATATTTATAGACATCAAGTTTTTTACATATAATAACTTAATTGAAAATTCATTACTCAAATGAGTTACTCTAACAAAAAGCAAAATCAAACAATTAATTTCATTTATAATAATATTATTGAGCAAATGTAACATTAGTTTACTATTTTGCCGAAAAATCTGATAAATCCATAATTGAATCAAACGGTTATTGAATTATTGTCTGTTTTTCATCACATTTGCGATGAAATCCCTGTCCAGACATCACTGAGTGAACAGAAAATTCGGTCAAAACTAACTTTATTATGACATTCAGATATCGCCTGTTATATAAATTTTGTAAATTAAATTGTAATATAATGTTTAACAATAATAATATAATATAACAATAATATATAAAATTTTTAATATTTTATCAATAAAATCATGTCTTCAAATCAAGTAAAACGTAATTTTAAATATTTATTAGTCATAACTCTTTTTCTATCTTATTTTATAATTTTTATAAATATAATTTTATCTTATTTTTATATCATAAACAATAATAAGTAAATTCAAATTATTAATTATTAATATTTTATAACTTAAAGGAAAAACAAAAACTATAATTATATTAATATGAGAACTTTATAAATATTATTTAAAAAATCTAATTTGATATTAATTGTTAGTTATATTAAATATAGTATATATATATTATATATATCTTATTAATATATATTTTATTAAATGTCATTAAATTACAATAAATCATGTGATGATAATTGGATGGTTTGACCATAAATTTATGAATAGACCTATCAATCAAAATTCACTTTCTTTTATACTAATATAATATTACACATTTAATTCAATTATATTAATACATATAAAAATTTTGTAAAAATGCATGTTTTGAGATATAAACTATTAGTATTTCCATTAAAAGTAATATTAAATGACTTAATATACTAAAAATGTCACRACTGATGGATACTTATATGATTTCCAAATATAAAAATAAATACATTATATTAAAAAAATAAATCCATTTTACCTAAACTATAATTATTTGCATTTACTTAATAATAACTGCAATTATTTTAATGTATTACTTACTGTAATTATTTTAAAAATATATTAATTAATTTATATTTAATTCTATTAATTATAACTTAGATTGTAAAGGAAAGCCACATGTTTTGGTTACTATATTTGATTATTGAGTGAAGTGTTGTTGATTGAGATACCGGTGACTCTCATCTATCACTGACACCACATCGTTGTCTATGACTGAGTGACCTGTAGTTCAATGGGTGAATGAAATGATTGGTTATGTATACGCAGAGAGAGAGAAAGAAAGAAAGAGAGAGAGAGAGAGAGAGAGAGAGAGAGAGAGAGAGAGAGAGAGAGAGAGAGAGAGAGAGAGAGAGAGAGAGAGAGAGAGAGAGAGAGAGAGAGAGAGAGAGAGAGAGGGTTAATATCTTAAGGTTATTGCCTTAAAGTCAGACCATTTGATGTGTTGGGAGAACACAGTTATGTATTAGTGATGTTATATTCAAAATATTTTAATGAAAAACTATTTGCACTCAACATTAGCTATACTTAATACTAAGTTATTGAAATAGTTTTAATTAATTATATATTCAATTAATTGAGTCTATAAACAGTAGTGCAAAATCAAATGTTATTGTCATTGAAAATGCTTTGCCATTGAATTGTTGTTTTTTGAAGTCATGTTTGCCATACATTGCAGTGGAAGTCTCTGCGGACTAAACAACCATTTGTGATGATAAATGACTTAAGACTCAGATTTAATAGTCTTTATTGACACCATTGAGATATTAGGGGCACTGAAACACCATATTAACAAACACTGACTGAACACAACCAGACTAATGGTCTGACTGTCTCCCTGTGCTCTCACAGACACAACAACATTACTATTTAAACATTTTTCATCACTTTCTCCCACTTTATTGAACACAACGTTTGTTGAATGTTAATACAGACAGTATATTTAGTGTTGGTAATTTTTGCAATTCAATGATTAATTGCGGAAAATTGCGTGAAAGAAATTGCGCGCATGAGGGAATGTATAAAAATTAACTTTACGTTAAAAATTGTTTACAATAGATTAAGAGAATTACTAATTTATTATTATTTTTACATGGTTTTTAGATGGCAACATTTTATGATAAAATAATTAAATTTTATATAATTAATTTATGTTTTTATTCATATTGCTTTGCCATTTAAATTTTGTTAATTTTTTAAAAATTATAAATTGTTCTATTTTACAATTGCGATTTTCGCAATCGAGCTTTTTGCAATTGCGGCAATTTCACGCAATTTCCGAGCAATGCAATTGCGCATTTTGCAATCGGTACATCACTAAGTATATTGCATTCAATTAATGAATTATTTTACAGTAATTAATWGCTTACTACCGCTTAATTGCAAACTTTAATTGGTTCGTTAATTAATAAATAAATCTACAATTTATATTAAGAATTTTTAATATATATTAAAATTTAATTTAAGAAATTAGTTATTTTTTCATTATTAGTTAGTATAAAATTGCAATCAATTTGATTGACATATCAGTGATAATAGTACTAAAAATAAAAAATAAACACTAAAATAGATTTAATGTGAAACTCTATGGACTATAAACTAATTTTTGATGTATTATTCAAATGGGAATAATGTTGTCATTCATTGACTGAACATTTTAAGGGAATTATTTTGAATGTAATTTTAATTTATTATATTTTATTAAAAAAATAATAAACAAGTTATACATAAAATAATTAATATATATATATATATTTCAATTATTACATTTATAATAATTAGCAACATTATCATAGAATTATTTTATATATAAAAATTAGTTTAAGTCAATAAAAAATTATTTGATAATCATTTGTAAACTGTATTTAATAATATTGTAAATAGTGTTGAGAGACGTCATATGTTTGATTTGATTGTCAATTGTAGTGTTTGTCCTCATATTATATCTTTATCAGAAAATTTGATTTAAGATAATACAAATATAAATAAAAAGCACTCTCTTTTAAATTTATTAAAATTTTAGTAATATTATTCAAAATTTAGTTCAAAAATAATTTTTAAACTGTAATATGTAATAAACTAATCTATTATTGATTAAAATCTAATGTCCTCTAATTGTATTTATTTATTTATTATTAAATACTAACTTATTTCTAAACATTGTCAACCCTAATTTTATAAATGGCTAAATACTCTATAGTATTGAGTATAGACTTTGTATATTATATTAAGTTTTAGTGAAATATGAAAACTGCAAATAAATTAAGTGATAATTTATTCAAACAACACTTGTCTGTACAAACATAAGTATTGCATAGCAATTATCTATCAATTGTGTAATTCATGTTTTACTTATTAAATTTACTGCATTTTTAACACAAACTGTTAATAAAATATGTTTGAATATAATTAATGAAAATGTGTTTTAAAGTTTTAAATTGATATTATTTTTGGATTTTTATTAAAATAATAAATGATTTATGAGTTATGCCTGGATATGATAAACAACGGTTTGTGGACATAAAGTCCGATGATTTAATTGAGTTTACATGTGGTATATGTATGGATATATTTGATGATCCGGTATTCAGTACGTGTTGTCGTCAAACATATTGCAGAACCTGTATATCTGAATGGCTGTCCACACAAAAGTCGTGTCCAAATGATAGAAAATCTTTAACATTAAGTGATTTATCGACTCCGCCGAGAATTTTAATAAATTTAATTAATAAACTGAAAATAAAATGTGATTTCTATGAAAACGGTTGTCAGGATGTCTGTCCATTGAGCCAACTGTCCGAACACCGGACAACTTGTCTGTGGAATCCTAACCGCAAGTGTACCGACTGTGACCTCATTGTTGGTACTAATGTTCACAACTGTATTGAAAATTTGAAGATAAGGATTAAATCGCTCAACAATGAGATTAAGGCAATAAAACGTGAGAACCGGGAGTTAAAGACAGAGACCGACCGATCCAAGCGAAACCAAAATACTGGAAATAATGTATTATATGTTTGGTTTGATTTTTTTAAAAGACATTTGCTATCAATTTATTAATTATATGATTATATGATTATTATTTACAGCAATCAAGTGTGAGTCGGGACGACAAAACTATCCGTATAGTCAACTCCCGTATGAATGAATCAATGAAAGAGTACGCCCTAAGTGTGGCCAACGAAGCGCACGACCGCTTCCGTAACGAACCCGAAGGCCGACTCTCAACGTTCGTTAGGAATGAGTTCGAGAAGAAGTACAAGAGTTTATGGAACTGTTTGGTCAGCTCTTCCATCAATTGGGGAACAAGTATTCATCACTTTGAGAACCACTACATCTACTTCAAGATAGGACTCTTCCACTTCATGATATGGGAGTCATCCAAATGAATCAAATCAACTTCAGTTGACCACTACTTTCAATAAATATTAGTCTTTTATACAAACAATGCATTTCAACAATAATATGATTAAAGTAATAATAGATTTGATAAATATTATCCAAAAAATTAAGTATTCTAGAAATTATATCAATTTTTAATATAATAAAACATCAATTTAAATGATTATAACTTTATCTTTTAATAGTAAAAAATACTTAATTACTTATTTCTAAATAGATATATACAGTACTATAGTACTATAGATATATCTATCGTTATGTTTATTATTACCGTAATATTTGTAGAATGTTTATAAAATAAACATTTAAATAAAAATATAATTTCATACAATAGTTTTGCAAATCTATATCACTTTTTGTGTATTATATATGATAATTATTTTCTAGTTTTATATTCTAATTATACTATACATATTGATAAATTACCATGTTAAATTTAACAAACGTATCCGCTAAACATCCTTTTAGATATTTATTTATATGTTTTTATTATTTTAATTCATTACATATTAAGTAATTTCCTTTTACATCATATCTAGGGTTCGAACAACTTTTATAAGAAAATTAATTCCCGAATAAATCCTTTTAATATTAAAAGAAATAATGAAAATATAGCTATATTATATTTAATCTAGGCCATTAAAGTTATAATATATTACGGTAGTTGAAAAACATTTAAAAATTAAAAATAAATTATGTAATAATTAACTTTAATAAATTAGCTAATGTAATAACATTAATAAGCAATGTTAATCTTATAAGAATTTGTTWATTGTGTTGTTTTTACAAATAATGAGATAAAAATGAAAACTTAATAATTATATTAATTTCTAATAATCTAAATACGGTATATATATTTAAGTAATAAATTGAATATTTTTTATATGTGGTAACTCATAAAATAAGTTTCCGATAAATCGGTGTAAAATTTTATTAGGAACTAAATCATTCTTAACCCCCAATAATATATATATATATATATAAATTTTATTTATGTAACAACTAGTTTAGTTGAGTATTGAAAATGTATAATTTGACTAAATGGTTATATTTAATAATTAAAATAATATTATTAATAATAATAATGTATAACAAACAGATAGAGCTGTTATGTGGAACACCAGGTGTACCGATAGGGGCACATGTTTATGGACAGACATCATACGCGTCCAATGGTCAGACAGTCACATATGAATGTCTCGATGATTTCAAACAAGTTTATGGCACAACACGTGTTTGTTCTAATGGCACGTGGAGTCCAAGACTACCAAAATGTGGTAAAACATTAACAATATATTTAATATTATTAGAAATAMTAAACATTATTTTATTCAACATTAATATTAATATTATTGAATTTACTTAAATACAGCGCATAGACTTAACAACGATTTAAATGTTGTGAATTATAAAATTAATTATCTTGACTTAACAACTGTTTTCGGCAAAAATATAGTCAACGAAACATTTAGTAATTTACAGGAAATCAAATTTAAGTCATCAAATAATATTAAGTTTCAATTAACATACAAACCAATTAGCAGAATATCATTTATAGAAATGTGGCTAAATTTTGCAGAAACTAATAAAACTTTAAACTTTAACGTTAAGGCATATATCAACAAATACAGACATTGTGTTAGCAATGCTCAAAATTGGACATATGATGGACACATAAATTTTATATTCAAGTTTACGTGTGAAGCAATGTCAGTGATTGCATATACAACTGAATCTAATGATTTACCGGATACTATACGTTTGGATTTTAATTTATTGCATAAAATTAGTATAAATATCTATAGACTAGAAGTGTTTAGATTTCAGGATAGTTGCGGTATTGCAGACATACCGGCCAATGCTAATAGTCATCAAACCGGTGATATTGTCACTATATTTCCAACAAATCAAAATCAATATAAAMTGTTTTATGATAATAACGATACTATTCATTGTCTCTATGAAAGCAATTGGGATAAAGAGTTTCCATTACTCTATCCACTCATACAATGCCATCAATTTGATAGCGAATCCTCTTATTATACAAATGTTTCGTTTGAAAATTTTGTATATTTTAATGGCACTCAATTGGCAACAATTGATAGCAAAATTCAATTTCAATGTAATAATAGTATTATCAATGATAGTAGTGGTGATTATCACACCCTATATTGTAGCAAAAATGGTCAGTGGGAAGGATTCAAATATATTTGTTATAATAATAATAATAATACAAATCTAAATAATACTTGTAAGTTATGCTTCAAATGTCTATAAATAGTAGGTATACTATATATCTAATTTTTTAATTTTAATATTTTCAGATACCAATAAGACTATTGATGGTGTACTACTATTAAAGCAAAATAATATTAATTTAATGTCAATTATAATAACATTAGTTTCAACATTTATCATTACAGTAGTTATTGTTTTCATATTAGGATTAATAGTTTGGTTTAAAGTTAAAATAAATAACAAACAGAAATCCAAAAATATTAAACACAAAGATATTTATGATATGAACAGATATGATGACATCAATGACAACGATGTCTATGATTATGAAACTATTAATTATGAAGAAATCAATCAAATTAGTAGTTATAATAATAATGATCGTCTCGACAATACATATGAAAATATTACTAATAAAGTAACTCCTGATTACATAGAGTTGTTTGAATAAATTTCTATCATTATGTTTATGTCATTTATTATTAAATCTAAACTAAATATTTTTAAATACTTATTTCTAAAATATTTAATTTAGTCATTGTTTTGAACGAAATAATATTTTTGATGACAAAATATTTAAATGTAAACTACAGTACTGTATATATTACTATATACAGTATTTACAATATATTATACTTAATATTTAATATATAATTATAAATACAAAATAATAATTTACACAATCATTAATGTCATTACTGTCTGCTTTATAGTAATAAAAACTGACATATTTTTTATTATTGATTTTAATATTTATTTAATATAATAAATACATAAAAATTTTAATTAAATAAGAATTATTAACTGATTTATTTAAAATTTAAATTTGTATTGTTTTGAAAAGATATTTTACACAATATTGTGTTTATTTGCGTACCCATTGAACTTTAATTTATATCATAAAAATAGTTTCACATAACTTATTATTTTAATGAAATACCTCAACAATCACAGGTATGAGTAATCAAATTACAACAAATAGTAAACTGTTGTGAATCATAATAATCTCAATTGCATAGCAATTGTCTCTTATATAATGGTAATTGGATTATCAACGGTTATTATCAATAATTAAAATTATTTTTTGTTTTTTATACAAATATATAGTTATTTTGTTTATTATTAACAATTATTAATTTCATTGATAGTCTAAGATGGGAACTATTATTAATATATCTGTAATATTATAACAGTATTTAAATTACAATTTTATATAAAATATCCTAAATGTCTAAATCGTGACAAATGTCTGACTTTACAATTGAAAGATTTGTGGACACGAGTGATGAAGAGTTAAACTTATTTTTATGTGATATATGCGGACATATAGTGAATGATCCTCTATATGAACCAACTCATGATTGTTGTTATTGTCGACAATGTATCACAAATTGTCTTCAAGACAGTCAAACCTGTCCTCACAACGATAATCACAATATAACTCTGGATCAGCTAATGACACCTATGAGTGCTTACTTACAATTGTTAAATAGACTTCAAATTAAATGTAATAATTATGAAAATGGTTGTCCAGATGTACTAAAATTGGGTGACTTGAGAGCACATGAAGACCAATGTCCACATAAACAAGTTGTGGTCATTGTTGATACAACTGGTGTTCAAATTGAACCAAAAGTTTTGTGGCAAAACACACTTAAAAACTTGATGTCTCAAAATAGCTATTGTTATATAACATTAGTGACGGTAGCATTATTTGTGATACTTTTACTTGCATTACTAATATTGCAATACAACATTAGGACCAACCGGTCAAACAATTATGGTCTACAAAATAGCAATAGTAAAGCTGTATATCATTCACCCAATGAATGGTCTAATAAATTAATTGACATTTCTCAACATCATATCAATGATATACAACAGTATATACAATCGGCACCAAATGTACCACAAATAGGTATATCATATCTATATAATTTAATATTATAATATATACTGAATATTTAGATATACTGCATATTTAAATAATATTTTTAATTAATTATTATTAAAATCTAGTCTATAGTAAAATGAATTATATGACAAAAGAGTATATAATATATTTGGTAAATAAGACTCACAATATGTTATTAAGTAATTCAAACATTGGTGATGACACACAACCGGCCAGTTATATAGTGGATGAACTGGAAAACACATTCAAAGACAGTTGGAATTGTCTTATTAATTATCCAAACAAACCATACGATTATTATTATGTTAATTACAAAAATGATTTCATTCATATTAAAATTGGTTTAATACGTTATCTTATATGGAATAACTAATAATATCATTTTTTATTGCAAACCTAATAAAATTATATTGATTAAATTTCTGTTTTTTTTCATTAAATATTATACTTTAAATATAAACATATTTATCATGTTATAAATGGACCACCCATTGTTGTTACAACCAATTATACAAAGATATGTTTAAAACATTTAACAATACGTCTAATAAGTATTTTTATCAAACTTACACTTTTATCAAACAATAGCATTTAGACCTAAGGTTATTATATATGACAATAGGACATGACATTAATAGTCACACACTTTGGTGTCGGTACAGTTGATATGTAATTATTAAGGGAAATGGCATTCATCTGCCTATTACCGACTGTGTTGTGACCACTGCTCTCATGCATACCATTAATGCCAGTGAATCTAGCAATCAGTCATTTATGTAATTAAGAGAAATACCAATTAGATGTGCCGGTGCTTTCACTCTATACATAAACATTGTATATAATAGTCATGAGAGGAAACACACAAAATTGATTATAATTTAATATTTTCTATTTTAACAATAAAAAAGATTTATAAAAAATCTTTTATGCTTATTTTGACTGAATGTAAATTGGTTTTAAATAAATTACTTTTTTATTTTTTTAAATTTAATTTTACATAATTGAAAAACTTTACTATTTATATAATTATTTCAAATAATATCTTTTGTTGTTGTTGTTGCAAATCATAGATATAATAACTATAAAAAATAATAAAACTATATTTATTAATATAAATTCAATTTAATTAATTTTAATAAAACAAATGTATCAACAATTAAATATAAATAAAATATTTAGTGATATATTTCTATGTTGTTTCTAAACTCATGTCATATTGATTTGTGTATAACTCATGTTTGATGACAAATATTAAGGAAAGGCTGTATCAGCACAACAMCACCAATAGCCACGGGTCGGAGTGATATTAAATGGCTTTCAGTGTTATAAACTATTATATGTATAATATTTTGTATTGTATTAAGTGATTGTAAGCTCTGATATACAAATCCCCGATTCTATGGATACCCCACTTTGATAAGCAATGTTAAGACACGAGGGATTGCTATGAATGCATGTCTGTCCTCTCAATCGTTGAGCATCACTATTGTGTGCGTCAAGTGTTTCACTATACATAACAGTGCATCTGTCATAGCCCTGAGCAGTGTTACACAGTATATGTAATATTACTTCAATTTCACATCACATATCTCTTACTTTTCAACTAAAATTATATGATAGAGAARTGGATTCATATAAAATATATATATATATATATATGTATGTATATATGAGTAAATCCCAATGCATTCAATACACTATATAATAAGTGTCAAACAATGAGAGGTATTACCCGATCACTTATAAGCGTTATAATCACATTTTGTTTCATAATATATGAAAAGTAAAATTCACATTTAAATATTTGATATATTAACAAAAAAATATTTTTCATAACACTGTGACATTAAATTAAAGAGATTTATTTTTTGAATTATTCAAAGCGTTTTTGTGAACTATCACTTTTGCCATTAAATATCATTTACCAAACAATCAATCATTTTAGCACTTAATGAAATGATAAAATTGAAAATATGTTTTCTTTCAACTTTATTATCCTATATTTTTTATTAAACATTTACTAAAATTTTGTTTTAAACGCATTTTTGTGGCCATATAATTGTCATGGTAAAATCTCATTATATCAAAAATATTTAAAAACTGAAATCATATAATATGAATCATATTTTAACTTAATACTATTTTATGATATCTTTAAATAATGTAATTAAATAAAGTTTATTGTAATGTAATAAAAGCATTCGTTAGCTAACAAACTATATTACCAAACAAGAAATTACATTATTTTATAAATTAAATGTATTAATAATTGACTAAATAGTCTGTCAGAAATTAGTTATAATAACTTATAATTATAAAGTTTATAATTATTTAGAAACTAATAAGTATTTTACTTTATTTGTCATTTTTTAACTTAAAATAACACGACATTTAGATAAATTAATAATAAAAATATTTTATAATAATTCTAASTTTAACTTATATAGAGTATTGTATAATTTATAAATTACATTTAATCAATTTCATATCAATAACTGCAGTATTTTCAATAATTTCATATATGGTATAACACTGCCATCTATACAACAATAATCATCAAATTTAATATTTATTAAATTAAACGTAAAATATAATAGTAGATTGAATTATATTATTTGTTTAATAAATATTTAGTATTTGTAAATCATCTTCAAATAAATTAAATTCATCTTTAATAAAAATATTTAAGTAAAAGTTTTATTGTGTTTATAAAATGCACAAACAATGCATAACATTATAAAATTTTTCATTATTTACAAATTGAATTTAATGCATAAATAAAAAATTAATTAATATTTTGTTTATATAAATTTTATTCATAAATCAGGTCTTTTTAATCTCAATGATAAGCAAAGAGTTTAAAGCAATATTTAATTGATATGATATGATATCTTCTAGTTTTACAATAAAATAACAATACGTGACTTAAGTACTGTACAGTACAGGTATTATAGATTATAAGCACATCACTATCAATGAGAGCTTATTACTAATATAACATTATTTAGTTGTATTAAGTCTTTGATTTTTAGGGAACGTTATCTCAATTGATGGTCTCTTTAGTGGGTTCTACCCTATCGTAGACCCGAAGAGATACGATTCCATCAATAAATGTTCTGACCTTTTGTTGGTTATCAACAAATTCGCGAACAATTTTGAACTTTTTCTTTGAGTTTTCCTTTGTCTCAATCAGTTTGTTTTGGTCAGCGATGACCAACAATCGGGAGACACTGCCGTCCCGTTCTGTTTCTTTGCATACCTGTCCCAACCGAAACATCAGTTTATGATCACTCGTACCATCACTAGTGGCCAAACAATAAGTTTCACTGAATTTGTTAATCACTAGAGTGTGTGTCTTTGATTTCCACGACTCTATTGCCGACTGTGTAGCGCCCAATAGTTTTAATATTTGATCATGGTTAATTGATGATATTAACTTATATGTACCAGTATAGTCATATGTCTCTATCTAACAAAAATATATGATTATATTAATTATAATATTAATATATATATTGTTAAAATTGTATAATTGAGTGTTTTTTAATTGCTATCATTGATTAGAGTCGAACTTTATATTTTAGTTAAAGTATTGTTAACCACAATTGAAAACATTAGATAATGTTTATAAATCAATAAACAACTTAATAATAGATAATATGGATATATTAGATAAGATATTAAGAAATATATTACCTAATTTTAAAAATATTTATTTGAATAATGAGTAGGGTTCGGGCAAATTCCCTCCCTTGTTTTATTTTCATAAATTCCCTATTTTCTATGGAGGCTATACAAGCTACGGAGGGAAAATAAGATATTTTCCGGTAAAATTGGAGGAATTTAATTAGGGAACTTCTCTCCCTTGGAAAGTTGCCCGAACTCTAATAATGAGTAATCAATTTGATGTACAGTATATAACTAAAATTTAAAGTCTAATATTATATTAGGAATAATATATATGATATTTAGATGCATATTATATTGATAATAATGGTAAACCTGGTCACTGGAGTTTGCAATCAATTTGTATATTTCCAATTGACTTTTGACTTTTCCGTTTTCAATACGCAAACGTTTGTTATGAAAATCAATTGTATTGATCTTACGCTTCAATGCTTTCACACAACTGTCCTCATGTTGTTTCTTCTGTCCATTTACTACATACTCATCACAACCATTACAATTGTGTGGCGACTCAACCGGCCGTTCCTTAAAATGACAAACATCTCGATGTGGTAACAGTTCGTTGAGTTTGATGACTGATTTACAGCCATTCATGTGGTAATCGCAGCGGACTTTTAAACTGTGTAACAATTGAAGCAATTGTTTTGTTTGAATACTGAAGGATTGGGATTTCAATTGCTGACAATCATCTAAAACACAGTTGTCGTGTCGGGTGATACATGTTTTACAATATAATTGTTGACAACATTGACTGACCACTGGGTTTAGGTAAATGGCTGAACATATTGTGCACGAGAGCTCATCCAACTCTTTRGGTGAGACATTGATGACACGGGTCTTACATAAACCGGGCATTGTTTGACAGTTATCTTTAAGTTAGCTAATGGTTAGCCTTTATGTTAAAAACAGGACTTATATACATTCAGTCAGTTTTTATGATACAAAACTTATCTTTTGATATTATTTGTTTGATTTGTTATTCAATATACTTTAGTTTTATTAGATATATATATATATATATATATGTTATCTACTAATAACTATTAAGTTAGTAATCTATGATGACTTTGTTTTTTACGTTTAATAATATTGATATTTATATCTTATCTTTTAATTAGTACCGTAATTACAATGAAAATTGTTTAATGTGTGCGATATCTTTAATTTTTAATATATACAATAATGTGTTGAATAAATAAATATTTATAATTTATGCATATTATTTAATATTGTTATTAATTAAATATTTTTACTTTTAATTTAAAATACAAGTTTATTTATTAATCATTAAATAAACTACAAAAATATAATTATGATTTCAAKTTAATATCTACCAAAAGTATGATAATCAAAAGTTTGTTTTTCAATTTTAAGTGTTTTATTGTTAACAATCATTGTGTCAAACGCCAGATTAGTTAAGGAACTCATAATATTTTTAAAAGATTTATAGTTGTTATCAAATAAATTGTTTAATATTTTAGTTTTATATAAGTTTATTGTTAAGCAAATGTATGTTTCATGATATGATAAAAACAGTAAAATCATTAGTTAAATATTTAACTATAAATATATTTAGTTAATGTGATGGTAATTTTCCATGTTAATAGTTTATAATAAAATATAACTATATATTATAAAATTGTACATGTAACTTTTTTAATAATCTTACTATAGATATGTATGTGACTAGTATTAAATAACATGTTAATGAACTTTTTAATTAAAAAATATTTTTTTTATAATTATATAAAATTTATATTATATATTAATGATACTGTACTAATTTATAAACTACTGTACATATTTGTTTATAATTTAAAATGTTTTAAATCAGAAACACTGTCACAACAGTAGTTAACAAAATTATATAATTTATAAATAAAATTCATTATATAATTAAAAACGTTATTAATTATATATTACAATATCAATACAAATTCAATATTTATTTAATTTTAATTATTTATAAAAATAATATGAATTAATAATAACTAATAAATTAATATTAATAATATAAAAAATGATATTTATATATATTTTGTAAAATATCAAAATATGCTCTTCATTTAAAAAGGCAAATATCAATTGGCAATTGCTTTAAAACTAGTGTATCATAAAAAAATATTTGCATACTATGATAATGACTATAATTAATATAATTGTTTTATACTTCATAGTTATAATCATATGATTTCACATGATTAATGTAAATTACAAATATTTTCCTTAAATAAAAGTTTGTCACATAATGTGTAAATTGAATTTATATTTGTGTTATCACTTAGTTATTGATATTATAAAAATGCATTTTTACAGTAAATGGTTTATCTCTAAATAACATAAATAATGTAATTAGAAATACGATTATATTATTTAATTAATTTATTTGATTATTTACTATAATTTTAGTTAATTTGATGGCATCATATTTTAACTTTTAAAATATTACTATATATATATGGTTAAATGATAATGTGCTATAGCCTATAGGTTACTTTATTTATCAAAATAAAATACAATTGATATTTTTACAAACAAATATATTTAAGCAAAAATTTCATTTTGATATTTCCAAAACTTTTCCCATAAAATAAACCAAAAATTTAAATAAATTATTACATACATTTCGATAGCACCTGTAGTCCAATATATTTATATTGATATTATATTTCACGGCAAATGTGATATAATAGATGAAAGCATTTATATTGAAAGATCAAAGCAATTTTTGCCGACAAATTACAAATAAATAACCGTTTTCTCGGTTGGCTTACACATTGGGATCCATATAAATGTTAATGATATCGGTTTGGGTGCCAAACATTTTAGGTGTTCCTATAACACAACAAAAATGTTATATATATTTTAATTTATATATTGATATATTGTTAAACAAAATTATATGCTATGCTTCATTTTTAATTCATTTTCAATTTATATTTGTAAATTAAAATTATAGTTGAAATGTTTTTTGAAAACAGATAACTAAAATATTAATATATTTAATGATCAATTTATTAAAATATAAAAATATTTCTAATAATAATTTTTTATATATATTTATTACAAAAAGAAATAATATATGATATATATATATATATAAATTATTTATTTTATAAGTTTAGTGTAAAAACCTATTCATATTTTTTGAAACGGATATGTAGTACATATTATATACTTTAGTATAATATATTGAATGATTTGATTGTTGTTTACTATAATTTTTAAGTGATTTGTTGAGTGAGTGGGTAAGTGTGTGAGTGTGAGAGAGATATGCATTTGTTTTCATTTATGGGAAATATATGGGAAATTGTACTTAAAATTCACAAAAATACAAAAATAAAACTACATTTGAATGGATGGCCGCCACCAACAAAGCCATAATAGTGGTCTTACAATGTAACAGATAATAGGCCTGTAATCTAATGATTGGGCCACACATACAAAAACAACGACCAGACGCACAGTGAAAGGCATTGATGTGAGACACGACCCGCCAGTGATGTGCACCTTAATTAAGGTATGGGTGCTCTCACGTACCACCAGAATGGCACCCACGGCTAAGCTATAAGGATGTGCTGGAGTTTTGCTTTGTTATGTATAGCATATACAGTACAATGTATATAATGAATGCTATCATCCCTTACCCCTCACTCTCTCTTTGTGTATATGTTTTGTGTCAGTAAGTGTGTGGAGAATGAGATTATAATTTATATGTTGTCTGTGTTTGTGGTGATGTTTTTGCTTTTAAAAGCCAATACCCAACTGATAATAACAAAAAACAGCATTCACTCACTTTTCTTACTCTCTCTCTCTCTCTCTCTCTCAACTACCTGTCCTCTGGCATCTCATTATAGGTCTCTTTCCTTTGTATGTCTCCCAACCCAACCATTTGGTGTATGTCTAAGACTATGTATGGGTCACCTTTGGGTGCCTCACAATATATATATTAGACACGCGATACCCCGGGCTATGCATTTATATTACTACACACGATATACTATTATATTATAATTATTATTATATTTTTGATTGCAATTTTTGAAAATTAAACAAAACAAAGTAAAAAATGTGTTTTTACAAAATTGATATTTTTAAAAATACATTTTATTTAAATTTTTATTTATTATAAATTTACTTGTTAAGTGTTTTTATAACATTTAATTTTATAATAATACTAATTTTCTGATTTTTAAAAATAATAATTATATATATAAAAAATACTAATTTAAATCAATAATKAATTATTAGAATATTATATATTAATATATTATAAGTATATCATAATGTATATAAATTATAATAGTACAGTACATAAATAATTAATATTATAGTATGTTATTTAAAGTTTGATTAAATTAATAAAATATGTTTATTACAAAAAATAATTTGAAAAATATGAATCAATACCAGTGCTGACCTCTGATTATACATTTTGAAAACAAAACTAATAAAAAAATTTGAATTAAATAAATCATATGAAATATTGTAATTTATTATAATTTCAATAATATACTAAAAATAGTAATTATTATATTTTAATTAAGATTTAAACTTATTATTTTATTAATATATGATATATTTAGCATTTTTATAAAATAATTAACAATATGAATACAATACTTTTATTTGTTAATAAATAAAATTTATAAAACATTAATAATAATAATATTGAATATATAATTGTTTAATTGCATATATATGTTATGGCTAATGTTGACTGATCGCCAATTTAGTAAATTATTAATTATTATTTAATTTACAATTTTTAAAACATAGTTTATTAAATTAATTAATTTGGTTCTTTTCTAAAAAATATAATTTTATTAATAGTAAAGTTATCATGGTACATTGATTGAATTGTACATTGAATCAAACAAACTGACCTTTTATATTGAGGACCTAAAATGCTAAGACCCTGAGCCGCCTTTTTCATAGTTTGCAGAATATCTGGTTCTTTAACATCAATCCATTGATGTACAACCCCTTCGTGTTTATTTCGTTGTAGACTTTCAATGACTTCCTGATCGCAGTCCTCATTGGATTTGGTCATCAATAGGACAGTATGTGGATTACGACTGTTGATGACTGTCGGTGCAAATGAATTTGTTGATTCACTTTTGATAACATTAATGGTATAAAAATCCAAAAAACAATGCGATGTTTCATCAGTTTTACATTTATCAATAACTTGAACTAACTTATTATCGTCATAAACATTATCATTAGGATTATTAGGTCTATTGAAAGTTATTGTCACCAATTTTTTTGGTTTGATTGTATGAATTTCCAAAGTGTGTAATGCAATAAACTGTTGGATATGTTTTATATTAATTTGTTGTTCAATCAATGAATCTGTATTATCCAATACATTGTAACCAATTAACGATATCTCATTATTTAACTCTAATAATAAAGGTTTCAATCTATCGTTAATATATTTATCTAATATTGGATTAGTATATTCAACTATTAGTGGCTTAACATCATTGTCTTGCCATAAATTTATAATTACAAAAACATTGATTTCATAGGCYTGACGTAAAAATGTTTTTAAACTATCGATCATTTTATTAAAAGTATCAGTGTCACATTCATACCATTCATTTTTGGATAATTTTATTTGAATAACATTACCACTATTATCATGTATTTGTTTCATTATATCATTATATGAATCAAAATTTTGTGTTGAATATGATATTAAAGCTCCAAGTAATACTGTATATTCATTGTTATAATTAAATCTAATTGTATCGTATCTTTCCTCATGTGTTAGCATTTCATCTAAAATGATAATTTTTATATTAAATAAGTTGTATATTAAAATTTAATAATTAAAATTTAAAAACATAAACAATAAATAATATAAAAATAATTTTTTTATCATATTTGATGACAACATAAAACATTTAATAAATTACTTGAATAAACATAATTCCAATTATTTTTCTCAATATTAATACAATGAGCCTCTCGTCTCGATTCTCCATAATTATAGCAATACTTATTCAATAACGAGTGTCTAAAAAATTGAGCTATACTTTGGTCAATGTTTTGATCAAATAAATACTTGAAATACCATTTTTGCATATCATTTGTCGGATAAAAATAATATTCAGGATTTTCTTTAAACAATAGAAAAAATTACAATTTTTGCCTAAAAGTTAAATGATTTTTAAATTATATAATTTAGTTAACTCTACCTTCATTTTGTTCAAAATCAAATTCTTGTAATTTATTATTAAACATTTCTATAATATTAGTTGATATTATATGAATTTTATTACCACCCAATTTGACCACTCTCAGTTTATTACAGTTCAAATCAAGTTTATTAGCAATTGTTGTGGAAAAGTCAGTAATTTTATTATCTTTTAAATCTAGATGCCATAAATTTTTGCAATTTAAATTTTCTAAAAAATTAACATCAGCCAATTTTGTTTTTCGTATTTTAAGCATCTTTAAATTTTCAAAATTGCTAAAACTATTAATGTCAATATTTGTTAACTGTTGAATATTTTCAAAAGTAATAGAAACTAAATTATTTGGTAAGTTATTGAAATTTTCAGTAATCTTCTCAATATTTCCACTTTCAATATGTAATGCTTTTAAATTTGTAAACTTATTGAAAACAGTCCAATCAAATTGACCACTTGGATCATCAATTTTTGTAATGATATTACACTTATAAAATGTGAGCACCATTAGTTTATCATGGTCAATTGATTCAAACGGGTTGTTAATGTCAGCTTTAGGTCCACACAATTTTCCATTATTTATAATTAAGTTATTTATTGTTAGTTTAGTATCTTTCAAAAGATTATTATTATCGCTTTGATATTCAGATAATAATAATGTATTTATATTTTTTAATTTAGTTAAGATTTTTATTTTAGGAATATTTGCAACATTAGAGTCACAACTAAAACTGTTTGATGTTTTTTCACCGAAACCATCTGAAAAATTGTAATTAATTATAATAATAATTTATTAAATTTACTATAACTAAATTATTATTTTAATTATTCTACATTAGTCAATAAAATTTTAATGAAAATATTATGATTTACCCTCTAATGCTGAATAGCAATCACAGACACCATTGACATCAACCGGACAAACCGTGTCGAGGGGTTTGTCGACAAAACAAGATATTAAATATGCGCACACTATTGTACTTAAATCAACTATCATTTTAATTTAATTTTAAGTATGTTTTATTGAACATATTATTATATTGCTTCAAACTAATTTTAAGTATAAAAAATTAAATATGAAAAACAATGATTAATAAAAATATTTTATAATACATAAATATTTTGTATAACTTAGAAACTAAATTATTTGATTTTTGTTTCATATATACTGTATTAATATAATCCCTTGAAAATAAAATGCCATGTATTGCATAATGCATGTTATCAAGTGTTGTAAAATAATAAATTTTGTTTATGAATGCCTTATTATGACAATAATCGTAGTATTTTCATAATATGATTAATGTGAAATTTTTTGTAATAATAGATAGTAATAATCTTTTCATGTAATATAATATCTGTTCATTAGTTTTAGATCATTTGAGATAAAAATATTAATTATTTTACATATATTCAAACMGTCATTAATAAAATTAATAAAATTAATATAATAATATAAATAATAACAATATAATAATAGTTTTATTTATATTTTGTTTATATAAATTTTTATAACTTTTTCACCCAATATGCTGTCCGATCCAAATAAGCCATTTGTATTGACATTAGTGTCTTMTAATTTTTGAAAAACAAATATTATATTAAACTGCATTTTAAGTTATATACATACTATTGTATCACTAAATTTATTGAATTAAAGTTTGTTTTTAAATATTTCAATGTTTTTTGTAAAATATTTAAGTTTTGGTACTATTTATTTTAATAATTAAAAATATATTTTCCCTATCTAACGATGAAGGGAGAAAATAATATATTTTCCGGCAAAATAGAGGGATTTTATTAGGGAACTTYCCTCCTTTGGAAAGTTGATCTAACCCTACTTACCATACTCTCCATCGTATGTCATATAATTAATATCATTGAATGGGTTATATTTTGTCAGTTAAATCATAGTATCACTCGTTAAATGATGTAATCTATACGTAGCCATACAGTTGGCCGGAGCTGATGATCCCATTCCTGTTGTTATAGTATTGCTAACCATAAATAGTTGCAATGCTATCGATATATCAATAGATGGAAACCACACTAAGTTGTTAGTACAGACCCATTGTTCAAACCCAGACCACAATTATTGTTGTCGACGGCATTGCTATCAAATCCAGAAAAGTTGGACAAAACTTTTGATTCGTCAGTGATTTGAATGAATAATATATTGTTTGACTTTAAGACTAGCTATTGATGACTAATCAGTAATTGCCAGACTGTAGTGGATATACACACTAAACAAATCGGAAATTTAAAATATTTTACAAAAATGTTTACATTTTTTAGGTAATAAAAATGTAAAAAAATTACCGAAAATCCTTTTTCATGAAAATTTTGTGCTTTTGGTTTAGTGTGTAAAACACGGGTCGGTTATGACGTGAAGTGTTTCTATAGTAGTCGGGAATGAACCCTATTTTACATTAATATATTTGATATAATGTATGATTTGGTCATATAATATACAGTCAACTGTTAAAAAATTGTAAAAATGATAGTCGACTGCAATTATCTGCCCAATCATACAATTAATTAAAAAATGACCAAGTACAATCTTATTTAGTTTAAATTTATCTACAACATTGTCCTTGGTCACTTTTAAATTCAATGTATTGTTGACCAGATAATTGAAATTAATATCATCGCCTCTGTTTAAGACTGAAAATATTACACTATATATTTCTATTATATAAACTGACAAATATAATACTGTATTAAATACTAAAAAATATAATAAAATTAAATAATATTATTATAAAATATATCTTAATTTAATCTACAGTTCATTTAAAACAATAGTTTTTATAGTTTTATATATTTACATTATTTTTTTATTAACAGATGTCGATAGTCAATCCTATATAGTATTTTAAAAATAATTTTAATATAAAGATTTACAATATTTATATTCTATTAAATTTTGTATTAAAATTGATATAATTTATAATTATATCAATAAAAATAAGTTGCTGTCAAACGACTAAATTATTTTTATCAGTATATGTGATATATATTACAACTTATTTATTATTTAATAAATAAATAAATATTTAATTTTAATTTTAAACTATATTTACTGTATAATAAAACATTAAAAAATACTGTATATGAAAATATGTGTCTTTACATAATTAACTATAATGAAAAGTATATTGAAATATAAAGATTTTAATAATATGTGATATTTATAGATTCAATCAACAATTATATTAAAATATAGTTTACAAACATATTCAGTATTTATTTTTAAACAATATTATATATACTTTAATTTATAAACATGTTATTAATATAAATATGTAAATAAACAATAATTTGAACGAATTTTTATAGTTTTTATATTACTTTTCAAAACTACAAAATTTTTATTTAAAAAAATTAATTCTTTAATTAACAGAAAGTAATTATAARTATAATTAACACATTATTTATTTTATTACAGCTATTTAATGTTACACAAATTATTTGCATAATTAGACCATTTATTATACAAAAAACTATAATCATCTAAAATATCGACATTTTCTTTAATACCATACGCTATCTCCAAGAGTTCCGTTTGATTAGTATCAGTGCCGATACCCCACACAAGACTGTTAATGTTATTATGTTTTGCATTACTAACAGCCGGTTCAACACCGGGAGGTACGTTTGACTGACCATCTGTCAGCACTAGCATATGTCTGGCAACATTAGGTTTAGGACTGGCCTCCAAAAAGATATCGACCGCCCTTTGAATAGCACCTCCAGTATTGGTGTTTCCTTCGGGTTGTATCATGTTTTCAACCATCGATAGCATTGTTGGCAAATCTATGTTATCTTTCAAAGTGTAAATGTCATACACTTTGTCGCCATATGTTATCAAACAAAATCTTGAGTCTGAAGAGTGCAGGGCTTTAGTGACATTAATGACAAAATGTTTGGCCGATTCAAACTCATTGGATGTCACACTTAACGACCCATCAATGATAATACAGTGATCTATTGGTGCCAAACAACCATTGATGTCATTTTTGTGTTCATGAGTTTGAATATTATTAAAGTTATATAAAAAAATTAATAATATAAATAAAATAATACTTTGTTGTTTCATAATTATTTTTATGCTAATATAAAATATAAAATAAGTTTGATTAAATAATTAAATATAAATTATAAAAGTTTTATTTATATATTGTACTTTGTTTATTATAATAATAACAAATATTATTTAATTGATATTTATTAAACTTTAATTAAGATAAAAACAAGTGTACAGTAGTTATTGATATTATTTAAAAAATTTTAATATATTAATTTATAAACTTTGATACATAGATAATTTTGCATTTCAGTTTATTGATAAATTTTATAACTTAATTTAATAAACAATAGAAATCTTTTTGATATAAAATATTAAAAATGATAAAAAACACTTCAAATTTTGTAAACACTTAAAAAAATTTACCATATATGGTAGTATTATTTATTAGAGAATATTACTGCTAAATATAAAGGTTTTATAAACTTATCAAAATGATCAAAATAATATTATTATTTTGTCATATATAATATTAATTTTCTAATATAATAGATTTAGACTAATTAAGTGATAAAAATGTACTTAAAAATTATCATATAAAGTAAATTAATTATAATAATTATTTAATCCTTTTCTTAATAAATAAATCAACATTTAACATTATTTTGTTAAGTAAAAAAATAAAAACTGTAAATGTTAAATTAACATTTTTAATTATTAATTGTTTAACTTTTCTTTAATAATCTGATCAATAATAGTGTACTTATTATATTATAAAGAATTTATTTTTAAATAATTCATTAATTAAATAAAAAGTTTTTTGTCTTTATTATTAAAAAAATAGAATAATTAAGTATTCTTTATTTAAAATTAAGAAATGCATAAATTTATAATAGATTTTATTTATTATTTCAAACATTAGTTGCAATAATATTATAAGAGTTATTATTTTCCTGGCCTTCCATTACAACAAACACTTGTGTTGGACCGGTATTAAGGCCTGGTATGTATATATGATCAGTAAATTGGTCGTCATGTATAGCTGATGATGGTTTAGAAGTACTGAATGAATAGTAACCGATTAGTTTGCCTTTAGTTGTTTGCACCGTTAGATTTAACCCTTTGTTTTGTAAATCAAATATAAAATACCGTTTTTCATTTTTTTTGGTAAAATCATCGATTTTTTCGCTAATTTTCGGTTTCAATGGTAGAGAACAAACGGTTGATTTGAATTCAAATAAATTGCTGTGAAGTTCTTTGTATTGATCTAATGGCTTAACATTAGCTTTAATATTATAAGCAATTTCAAGCAATTCTGTGTTATTAACATTAGGTCCGACTCCCCAAACCCAACTGGCTATATGTGCTTCCCTGGCATTACTTACAGCTGGTTCGACACCGGGAGGACTGTTAGATTGTCCATCTGTCAATACAAACATTGTTTTGTTGCGTGGGTGGGGTCGGGGTGGTTTCATAATGTCGACTACAGTTTGAATACCACCACTAGTGTTGGTTGAACCGGCCGGTTGGACCAGATTTTCGATTTTACTTAACATTTGGTTTTTATTATTTTCACTGTAATTATAGATAGTTTGTGCGTTACTGGAAAATAAAACTAAACAAAATCTTCCATTTTCTGAAGTTATGCTATTTGTATAATTATATATGAAATCTTTAGCCATTTGAAAATCTTTTGACTCAATACTACCGGATCCGTCCAATACTACACATAAGTCAATGTGTGCGGAACAGCTTAATTGGTCCTCATTGGTGTACACTTGCGATACAAACTTGTTTACGTCACCACTGGTTGTATAGTGTTGTTTCCAAAACTGAGCTTGGTCCTCTACTGTTTTAGGTATAGACTGACCACTAATATGAATAAACAATCGGACAGCAATTGCAGCGTACAATGGTGTTTGCAGGTCAGTCATATTGAGTAGTTCCCAATCCACACCATATTTATCAGCCAAATCATAGTAAATTAAAAGCAAATTTGGATGTTTGACTGTGTTTTGTGTTTCGGCTAATTTGTTGCTATCGATTGCCCATATATTTAGAGAATCATTGATAAATGTGTGCGGGTTTTGACCAAAATTGGTTTCAACACACGCCAGCCTATAGAGGAAACCAGAGTCATCACCAAACAATTTGAACATGTTCACTTTATTAATAGTAGCATCAACAACATCCTGGCCAATTGACTTTGGCACCAAGGTTAAATCTACTTTTTTTGAATATGAATTATCAAATAATTGTATTAATATTAACACAAATATTAGAATATTAATTATTGACTTCATTTTAATAATAAAAATATATTGACTTTATTATATTTATTTAATAAACTAGTTTTGTTTAAATTTAAATAATGTACAATTAGTTATAATATAAGTTATTTTCAAGTATATATATATATAGTCATAACAATACTAATCTGACCTTTATATATATTTATCTATTATTAGGTGCTTATCAATGTAGTTTAATTAAATACAGTATTAATCATTAAAACATAAACCGAGTAAATTAGATGGGGATTAATTACTGTTTATTTATTATTAGTGTCTATTAATTATTTATAAAATATTTCATAATTATAACATACAAAAATCTTAATATAAAACTTAAATATATTTTTGTATTTTTTATATTTTCTACTTAATTATATAAATATTTTGATTACAGTTGAAACCAGTTAAGAATGCTTTATAGCATTTTCAGACAAACTTCATCCAAATTAATTTATTAAATTATTTAAATATATTAATTAATTATTTAATATTATTCTGGTTTTATAAAATTGCAAAATTCGTATCAAATTTATTGCATAGAGTCATATAATTTGATATAATTTGACTCAAAATAACAAAATATACTATACCTATACCATCAACATTTAAGATAACATACATATTATCTAGTACAGTATAAAACAATATTTATTTTATAATAGTTATTATTTATATTTATTATTTAAGAATACTATGTCTAGATATACATAATTTAAAATGAAAACCTCATATTAAATAAAGTCATGTAAATATCATTATTATAAAATGACAACAATATAAATAGTTATCGTTTGGCTATTTTAATTTWTCAATATTCTTATTTATATTTAGATAATTGTTTGCAAATAAATTCAAAATTTAATTAATTTTTATTTTAACCGCCATTTTGTTTTAAGGATACAAAACAATTTTACATTTTGATATATAATCCAAATCTACACTTAAAAATCTTAAAAACATTTCTATTTTCTCTATTTTTCTAAAGAGATCTGACAATTTCGATGTTGATCTCCTATACCTTATTTTTGATGTTTAATCCAAACCTGAATTCAAAATTAAAAAATCCGGACAAACGGACAAACAAACGGAAATATAGAATTTWGATTACGTACTCCTTTTAGGAGTTTGTGAAAACAATACAAAATTGTTATTTTATATTAACTATTGTATTATATTAACAAAAATTTTTTATATAAAATTTTATTAAAAGCAATATAAACAATAAAAATGAATTTAAAGTCTTTTATTTGAAGTGTTTTTAATGCAATACAGAAAACTAATAATTTAATTATCATTAGAATTTAGACCAATATTTTACATAATATTGATATTTTTATATTTTGCATATGAATATTAATAAAATTATTTGAATAATTTTAGACATTTAAAAATTAAATAACATTAATATTATAAATAGCAACTAAAAGATGAAATAAATTTAATATAATAATAAATAAGTTATAAATCAATGGTTTAATAGTTTACTGATTGAAAGTTTGTTTAATGAATTTTTTCTTGTGATTGAATTGAAAATTAGGGAAAATATTAATAACTTTTTGACTCAAAGGAGAGCAGAGATCGATACCTTCCAAAACAACCGACCAGTTGTTGAATGACTTGTTTTTCTCGACATACCGTTTGGTGGCTGTGTTTAAGCAATACTTTTTCCGAGTGTTTTGTTGACTCTGTAGTGTCTTATGTAGGTTTGAATCAATAGATTTGGGGAAATCTAAAACAGCTTTTTTCGTGTCGACGCCCGCATAGACGGCCCGTGAAATCTCATTCAATGGATATTTGGCGTTCAAATAGGCAATTGGTTTGCGCTTAATATCACGCATTTTAATGAGGTTTAGATTAAGTGCAAAATCTGGTAATGATATCTCCGAGTGGTTTGTGTCCACACAATTGGACTTCACTTTCTTCTGACATTTCTTGTGGTAATCATTTGTGTGATCGTTAAAAGCAATCAATTGTTTGGGAAATACAATGTTTCTACACTTCCAGTCAATTGGTGAATATATATCATCTGTTAAGTCAATTACAACTCTCTGAATGCAATCTGTAATCAATGGCAATACGTCAAGTCGTTTGCCAATCAATTGATTATTTAGCGAATGGTAGTTATGCTCAACTATAGACTCCTGACCGGTGTCTAAGTCAATGGACAATGGCTTTCCTCTGTTGCTAAATATATAACTAATTTCTAATTTATGACATTCAATACACGAGCCATCAATTTCATTGATTTTTCTGTGGATTCGCTCTAATGGTTTGACACCATTTGTTGACTGTATTACAGAATATTCTCGATTCTGATTTGTTGTATTTGTCATATGTTTAGCAACACTACCGACGATTGAATTATGATTTTTATGTTTCATTGGACTCTGTTTGTTATAACCATTTGTATTGTTGTTATTTTTATCAATCATATGCTTATCCATATGGTATGGTTCATCAATAAGCACAGCATCTGTTTTCTTAATTAGTTTATTTGCAAAATCTGGTATTTCTATCAAATCTGGCAGTGAATCCATATAGTCCTTCGATGAACATACAGTTTTCAATTGCACCTCATTTTTATTGTGATAACCGTATGGCTTCACTATTTGATAGCTCGGATAGATTTTTGTCGGTTGATTTGGTATATCATATGACAATTTCGTATTGTTATTGCAATTATCAATAGACTCATGTGTTGACTGTGACTGTTGTGATGGCAGTGATGCCAATACAGCGGTGCTATTGTTTTTGTATTTATGGTTACTATTATTACGGTTACCGTTAATAATTACCGTTTTCCCATTATTTATATTTGTATTATTGATTACAATATTGGTAACTATATTATTTGGATTCAGGTTTAACTTATCGATATTTTGTTGATAATGTTGACGCCGTTTACTTAAATTAATATATCTGTGTTTGGGTTCAAAATGATCTTTGCGTTTACTTTCCAACAATTGTCTAACCGTTTTGGGTCCGGACTTATAGTTATGTGTTATAATACTGTTATCTAAAGTCATTAACTGGTTTTTTGTCAAATTGAAATGATCATGATCATTTTGTACATTCATATTTTTGACTTCAAGTTGATTTTCATCAGGAATTTCATATAATGGATGTGATAATGTAGTGACCAATTGATTATTAATTTCATCATGCTCAATTTCATTGCTGTGATATTTTATGATATCGTGTGCCAAACGGTTTGCTATAATTTGAGTTTTCTTTTCATCCAATGAAACAGTTTTACGCCTTTTATCTAATGGTTTATAAAACGTCTGATCTGCCGGTCGTTTATGATTTATTGTTATCTCTTCAGCGACACTATCCTTATCATCAATGGTTATGCAAGTAATACCATTGGTTTTGGTGGTACCGTTGCTTTCATTTTGTTTATCGGACACAATTGACTTATGACTTAAATGTTTGTTCAATAACTTCTTTGATGACAACTGATCTCTGTTTGTATTTAATTTTTGTGTAATTATATTGTTGTTAACAATATTATGTCTAATTTTATGATGATTATTATTATTCATATAAAATGCTTTATTATATGCCATGTGATAACCATTTGTCCGATTTTGATGTTGTCTTTCCATAATTTTTTCTCTATTCATAATACCATTAACTCTATGGTATGGTATAAAAGTTTGTTTCTCTTCAAGCAATTGACGGACTGTTTTATTATTATTATTGGCAATAATATTGCTATTAATCATATTATTTGTCACAACTTTAATATTTTTCATATTACTGTCCAATTGTCTCATAAGAAAGGGATGATTTGTTTGCATTAGTTGTGGTCTTTGATTGCCTTTAGTTTCCATATTTGAAAGATTTAACTAAATAAAATTCAAAGCAATAAAAATACAAAAATCGATTTTTAAAATATTAATAATTTGCATAAAATAAAATAATACAATATAATATAATAAATTATATAAAAATATTTTTTTTTCATGAAAAACAATTATAAGTAATTGATTGGAGATAATATCACGTTAGCATTTATAATTAGACTATTATATAGTTATTATAAAATATAGTGCATAATATTAAGTAATCAATATATGGTACACATATGCATCAATTCACACAATATGTAATTTATATGAATTTTATTTAAAATAATAATATGATTGAATAATATAATATTATCAACAACAACAAAAAAACTTAGGATATCTTTACAATATAAATATTATATATTAAATAAATTTAGCACATATTTATAAATATAATAATAAAATTTTATTATTATACTAAAGTACAATATATATATATATTATTTTATGTTGAATAATATATGCATGATAATAAAAAAATGTTATAAAACTCTTAGCAAACAATTAAGTATTAGTTTCCATAGTTATTAACATTAATTTGTTATTTGATTAGATAACTGTAAATTTCAAAATACTGCAGTTTCTAGAACTATCCATTACATTATATTTTTATTAAATCATCTATATCATTTTTAGACAAATAACAAACTCGCCATAAATCCTATACTATTCAATGATTAAAGCATTTAATAAACTAAATTTTCTAATGTAAATATAATAAAATTTCTTAATATGACAGACAATAAAATATATTTTATTAATATTTTATTAATAGCTATTCAAAATAGAAATTATAAAATAGTGTAAAATTAAAAAAATAAAATATATATAATAATAAATATAATATTTATATGACATACAATAGTATTGTAATAATACACACAAAGTTAAAATAACAAAAAAAATATATTGATTTCACTTAATAAAAAATTTAATAAAAATTACTGAACAGTAAACGTTTTGTATTATTTTGCACGATTTGAAAAATAATAGTTACTAAATAAAAACTGTAATTTAAAAAAATAAAAATTTGATAATACAATTGATAATACAATTAATACATACATTTTGTGGTGTCATTGGTAGACATCCATTACTAATTGGTTTCAAACGATTTGTTACCAATTGATTACAATTCTGTTCTTTGATATTCTGTATTCGTTTTAATACTTTATCTAAATTCTTAGCTTTTGATGTATTTTGTGTAAACACATCCAACTGTTCATTGTTTTTGTCCACTTCTTTCATCTCAAATGATAGCTTATCTAAACGTCTATTATTTATGAACGACTGGTCAATAATAGTATGATTACGCAATGGTCTCATTGAATTCATTATTGGTATTAAAGATGTTTGCGATTTTTGAATTGTTGAGACATTAGAGGTTGTAGTCCCGGGTTCAGTGTCTTGTGGTCTGTTATTGGACATCAATCCCTGACCCATTGTAGGTATGGTTCCGTTCAATTGATTTTGTTTTATTGTTTTCAATATTGGGTTAATGTTTGGTTGAATTGCTGCCGTTAGAAAAGCTGCTCCCAATTGTTTCAATAAATTGTCGCATGTCTTTATATCCATAACTAAAAAACATTTCAAGATTTTTATTATTAAAAAAAATTAATAAATAATATTCATAAAATGTATTTCTTAATTAAATTAARTAATAATTAATTACTTTACTATAGTAATATAAATAAGACTTTAATTATCATATTACTTTAGCTTAATAATTAATATTTATGATTAAAATTTATCTACTTATTTTTCTAGCAATTAGCACAATAATAGTATTGCATTATTGACTATACAATACTTTTTTATTCATAAATTTATTTCCAGTATATAAATTCATTATTATAATATCAAATTAATAATTAATAAATATACAGTATATATATATATATATATATAGTTGATTTATATGTCGACTTTTCGATAAATCATATGATATAAGTAATTTCATTACTTAAATGAAATAAATCATATATATTACAAGTTTATTACTTATGAAAATACATAAAATTAATTAACACCTATTAATACATATCAATGTCATCAATAATCAATTGGTTTTAATTTTAATTAATATTATAATTTTTAATTAAAATGTTATCATGAATTCTTTTTCTAATTCATTATTAGTTTGAATAAAAATTGCAAAATATTTTCTATATATTTATATTTAATTATTTGTCTGTATTAATATTTTACATTTTACTAATAATTAAAAATATGTTTTGCAAATTTGCAAAATAAATTTTTCAATTACATATTGATAAAATTCGCTTAAAAAAATAAATATTTTATATGTAGCAAATAATCTATATAATAATAGTATAAAGTAATATATTAACTTTTGTTTATAATATAGTTTTTGTAATTTTGTTTTTTATAAAATAAAAAATTTCTAACATTAAGAATACATTATATAATATTAATTATATAAACATATTGATAAAATACAGAATATAGTAATTATATCATATAATAAATATTATAAAGTATTATAATGACAAATAATTTGAATATTGATTAGTTCAATGAACTTATAATTTATTATTTAATAGTGAACTGTCTATAATAGAAAATATATTTGTATTAAGATACTAACAAGGTGATTAACCTTAACTATTATTAATTGAAATTTTTATATCTTAATGTTTCTACAAATAAACAATATCAATATTGTAAAATGTCTTAATAATTGATAACTTTTTTATTTAAAATCATATTTAGTCAAACAATTTTAAAATTACTAAATAATTTGCTAAAAAAATCAATTTATTATATTATCATTATAATTAAGATATCTTAAGCATCATAAATAATATCTATGAACTAAGGATTTTATAAAATAACTTTTAAAATTTTTACACATATTAGTAGTCAACTTTAATTGTAGCAATAATATCATAGCTGATAATGATAACCTAAACAATACATTTGAATTAATTAAGTTAATTAAAATTTATAGTATGATATAAACTACAGTATCCAGCATATAATGTACAATACAATGTATAATACATTACTTATAAAAAGATACACTGTATATAATAATAATAATAATAATAGTATATTATAAATCAAGATAATAGATTAATTTGTTACATTATTAAACATATTTTTAAGTATGTTATTCAATTATATAATTATTAAATAAATTAAAACAACTATTATAAACTAAAAATGTAAATTAAAACTAAAGTATTTATTATTAATAATAAAAATTTAAGAAAAAGTACCTTGTTAAAATTGTTGATAGTGTTTTTTATAGTGATAAAAATAATATTAATAAATATTAACAACATTGAAATATTTTGTGTATTAATTAATTATTTAATATTATAATTAATATTAAATTGAAAATTAAGAAATAATTACAATATTATACTTATTTAAAACAATCAACACTTCACTATAAAATTAATTATGTAATAAAATAAAGACATTTTTATATTAAACATTATACAGTTTATTAAATAATCAATACTAAAACAAAATATCACGATTCAGATATAGTATGTGTGATCACAAATATGTAAATACAAATATGTTTAAAAAACTGATAACACGTATGCAAAAAATACTATGTATTAAAATGTGTTATTTAAAAAAACTATTTCAAACATTTAACATTTAGTTTATACTATAATATCTCATTAATATAAGTTTTGCTTATTAATTGTGATAATTTTATAACATAATAACATTTTWATGCACTAAATTGAAGGTAAACGTTAAAAGTTAACTATTAACTATTTGAATGGTAAATGCGATAAGATTAAAGATTAAAATTAAGTCTATAAAAATTATATAAAAAATTAATATGATATTACACTTATGAATATGATTAATATTTTAAGATTCAATACAATTGTATATTTTATAGAATTTTTTTTAAATCTATAACTTTGTATAAAATATTTGATTTGCGTGTATAGTATTGTGAATGTGTTTGTTTGTATGTTTGGTTGTGTGACTGTTGTTCACCGGCACCGGTATAATAAAACTTAATATAAATAACATTTTTTATAATTACTTGGCATATTTTGRCAACAATGATCAAGGTATAATGTATTTATTATCATTAGTATAATTAAAACTATTAATTTTGATTAAATGCGTTACCTTGGCAATATGTAACATAAAATAATATATTGATATTATTAAAGTAGCAATAAATTAAATTTTAAAAAATCCAATTATATGACCTAAAAGTATAATATTAATAATAATTTAAAGAAATTACATTTAAGATATTAAAACATTAGATAAATATTTAAATATTATTTTATATATGCACTCATTATATGACTGGATAATTATATGAAAAATATTTTATTGACATATTGTTTAATAAATATTAATGTAAAACTTATTTTCAGAAAATAAGTGAATTAGCAAATTATGATAACTCACTTTTTGGTGTAATTGTACACATAAATAAAAATCATTGTTTGCTTACATAACTTTTGAACATTTATGAAACTTTTAATTAGTGTTTTTATATTCAAAAAAATAAAAAAATAAATATTTAATACTCTAAATATCTATGTATGWGTTGCCATGGTTTTCATAAATGATATGAATTACTACAATTAATACAAATTATAATTTATTATATATTTTTAATTAATTTTATTATTGATAAAAAATTAAAAACACTGCACTATTAATATAATTTATTCAGTAAATAAGCTATATAAAAAAACATTATATTTGTAACCCTGGAGTCTACTGTCATATGATATGCATTCAATTGTAGTCCCGGAGATTTATAATTTATATATAATATATGATGTTGTCTGAGATATTTTAAATGGGATATTAATATAATGTATATTTTTAATTAGTAAAATTTGTTTGACTTTTAGTTTTTATTAAATTTATTGATTAATGTTAATAATGTTAAATAAAATTACAACAGGAGAATATTTTAGTTTTATTTAAATAATACAATTATTAATGATATATTTATTTTAATTAGCTTGATAAATTAAAGATATATTGATCAAAATATCATCATAATTATCAAATTAGGTTATATTTATCAAAATTTTGTTTAATCATTGTAATAACTTTATTATTTATAAATGTCGTAAATAAGTATTGTATTTTATTATCAATTTTTATTTTTGGATAAATTATAAGTATTTTGAAACAAAATATTTATTGAAATTATCTTAAATTGTTAATTATTTGACTTATTATTATTATTCTCAAATATAATGTTATTACTGTTAGTTAAGCTTAAAATTTCAGATTTAAAGTTAATTATTACATTTAAAACATAACTAATAATAATAATATATAAAATTAATGAATTTCTTTTAGTTTATTATAACTTTTTTGCAAAAGATTTTGTCATAAGGAATAGATTTTTATAAAACTTTATAAAATTTTTACATATTATTAAARAAAACAAATCATGTTTTCTAAGAATTATTATTATCGGATAACGAAAAAAGTTACATAAGTTTATAAATAATAAATTTATTGTTTTAAAACTTTTATATAAATAATGATTATTAAAATGTTTATTAATAATCTATTAATGTATTTAATAGTAATTTTTACAATTTAATAATTATTAATGTAATTTAAATTTGATATATTTACATATTTTTATGTAATTTTATGTAATGCTTTGTTTTGTCACAATATTATTCTGTTATTATTCTGACAAATCCTTTTTATGACTATCAATAATATCTATGATATAAAATTATTAATTTTTAAAATATACTGTATAACAATTTGTTTAATAAAAATATAATATTTAAAAAATGAATGATGAATTTATTTTTAATAAATTAATAAAAATTTTAAAAACTAATAAAAATTAAAAATTATCTTAAATCATGAAAAGTATTTTATATGTTTATAATAATCAATGGATAATATTTTTGTTATTTAATTAATTATTATAAAATTTATTTTGTTAAATTATTAGAAAAATATTAATTAATAATATGTAAAACATAACAAAATATTTCATAATTTATCAAATCTTATAATCAAAAAATAACAAATATGTATTTTGTAAATTTTTTAATATTCATATTATATAAAAATATATTTTAAGTCAGTTCAAAATAAATAATTTTTTAAATATGCTAACAGTATATTAATTTTTTAAATACAAAAATTTTGTAAAGTCATTTAAAGACACTTTTATAATCAAACTGTTAAAATTGATTTTTTATAATAATTTTTTCAAATTAAAATTGAAAGGATGTTATWGTGTTAAAGATTTTATTTTTTAGACATTCTAAATATAATATTATTTATAGCAAACTCAATTATTGATAAAAATAAATTTTATTTATAAAAAAAATAATAAAACACTTTAATTAAAAAGTAATAAAAAATTTTCACGATTTTTAATAAATTAATTTTAATCATATAATTCTTACATAAATTAAAAATACAATAAATTACGTCAGACATAATAATTTTTAAATACTACATCTCAGATGTTTAAGATTTAAATAAAACATATTATTAAAGTAAACATTTTTACATATTAATTATAAACTATTATATTATCTCAATTCTATCAAAAT